TTTTTTTTTTATAAGGAATGAGACAAAGGGATGATAAAAAATGGACAAAAGATATAAATATAATGATTCAAGCCAAGATGATTAATTAAGATAGAAGTAAGAAGTGTGAAATATGTGGGGAAGTTAATATAGAAGGCTTAGAATGGTAAATAAAATAAGTAATGATATGTAAGATGAGCATGAATATAATTGAAGTCCATGAAGAGAGAGACACCTGGGTCCAAGTTACTTTCCAAAAAGATTTTTTTTTTATGTTTTGTGTGTTGTGTGTATATGTCTTTTTGGGGGGGAGAATTAGTTAAAACTTGTAGAAATATAGAATGAGAATAATGGTAACTAAGTCAGAAAGAAACAGATGAAATAATAATGATATTGAATAAGAGTAAAGAGAAGTAAAGAGAAATTGAATAAGAGGTTTTGGTATGTTGTATGGAAATGGTTTAAAATAGAATTATAATTTATCTGACTTGTTAAATTGACAATGAAAAAAGGTTTAAACATGTAATGAATAATGATAATTTGTGTGTTTTAAAAATTAATAAAACTTGCTTTAAAAAAAAAAAAAAAGAACATTGGAAATTAAAAGCCTTTGATCTGCTTCACCACAACCACTTCCTTTTCAGCAACCTCCATCCCAGAGTAAATACACAATCCTAACACTTATCCTATCATCTCACTGATTCCATCAAAAATCCTCAAGATAAGAAAAGACATCAAGCCCCCTCATAATAATCCACATCTACGAAGGATCTTCCTTCTTGGACTTCACATATCCTCAAATCAATACACTTCTAAACATGCACCTTACAATCAAAGCCTAGGGAAACCTCAATCTGCATAGCCAAATATCAAAGTCCACTTGTCATAATGTATACTTTTAGTAGTACATCCCTAACATTGTAGGCTATCTTCAACCATTGTACGTGGTTGGATTAATAAACTACTCTACTTCTAGCAGCTGCCACTTGTGCTTATTCATAACCCAGTTCAGGAAACATCCCACAGAAATTCTTCTAACATGTTCAACAAGAAAACAATAGAGAAGACTTGTACTGCGTTTTATGCACCTACTCCTGCCCCAAAATTCAAATGTTGATGTGGTAGACTGGATCTTGGTGAAAATAATTGGAGGAACAAATAAACCAATGCTGCTGTTTCTATCTAGTATTACATCAGCCAGGGAGAAGAGGTGGGTGATCACACTTGATCTTTCAAAGAGGTATGAACTGCAACAGAGGATGGTGTTGGACCCAAGGAGATACAGGAAAGAATGGATCTTATCGTGATCATTCCGTGATTGTTCCTGGACAAGAAAAGTCATAATGAGAGAAGGGAAGACAAATCTCTCTCCTCTTATTTCTTGTCACAGGCAGAAGAATGACTCCTTTGGTATCATTTTTCTCAAGGGGACCAGATACTGGCACTGAAGGAATTGTTCTCCATCCTACCTCTCTCCTCCCCATGATTCCTATGCAAATAAAACTTCTATTATACTTCATTGTCAGGGCAGATTAGATGTTGGAAATATGATTCCCAAAATGAATAATGCTATTGAGCACTGCCATGTGAAAGAATTCTGAACCAATGGTTTCCCATGGCTGCATTTTTTAATGTAATTTTAAACTATAGTTTCAAAATAAGAGAAAGAAATAATTTTACTTTATTGTGCATTGGTCAAACCCCATCTTCAACATCTTTCAGATACTACATTGCTGGGGATAATTAGATTAGGAGACTATAAAAAGAAATCGAAGTAGGTTTTAGAGGAAAGTGTTAAAGGGATAAGACAGAATTCTTCAAATACCAGAAAGAATACTACCCAGAAAGTCAAGATTATTCTCCATTGCTCCAGAGTGCTGAACGTGGAGTATCAGATCTTAATTACAAGATAGGAAGACATGTTACAGTTGAATCTTAGGGGTGAGAAAACTCTTCTGAACTGGAACAGCAGTTGATCAGGTAAAAGGTGATGGATCTCTTTATTAGCATTTTTAAGCATAAGCTAAACAGACATCTATCCTGAATGGCTGGATTCTTTCAATACTGGTCTTGCTGGCCTAAATGACTACTTTCAACCGTACAATTCTACAGTTCCCACCCCCAACCCCCAGGCAGCAAATAGAACAAAATAGAACAAAAACTGAACTTACATATAGCACCTCAAAGGACGGTACGTAGATACTAATACATACAAGCGTAGATCAAATTTCTTCCCACCAATCAGAAGTGGATTACTGATATACAGGGAAATCACGTATGCTTCTTTAGTGGACTGAGATACAAACCTAAAGATGTTTATATTTCATTATTTAAATTTATTAAATTAGTTTTCTTCTTTTAAAAGTAACAAAGGCACAGCCACGTACACCAGGATGGAAAGTTTTCTTTCTCTGCCAGAGCCATGGTATTCTTCAACCTCAGGCAAAATCATATGTAAGCATCCACATGTAAGTTTTACTACTAGCTTGCTGCCTTACTGCATTGTAAAGTGCTTCCTTTTTTCCCTCAAGATAGCACTGAAATGCAGCAGACAGGCAACATGGGGGATGAACCGTCTTTTCCTCCATCACCATCTCCCTTCCAATCTCGCTTTTAAAAAAAAAATTTTTTTTTCCCTTTCAGGAAAGAAAAGGATGCCAGAAAGTAATTTGATTTCTTTCATTATTGAATCTTTGCATTTTGGATATTTAATGGTAGCTTTTGTTATATTTTCTCTAATATTCCATTTTTAATCATAAAACTTAGATTTGTTTAATCCTTGTGAAATTGGACTGTCTCCCATGAAAAGACTGGAATTCTGTAGCCCTAAACTTCCTTGCCAGGAGATTGTATTATAGAAAGAGCGACTTCCCTCTCTTCATTTTCACCTTTTATTAATAGAAAAGCAAAACAAGACGTGCATGCCTATTTCTTTCATGTACTGGGTTATGGGGTAGAAAGCCAGGTAAGGTGCTCCTGGGACTAACAACGGGCTCCTATCCCAAAACAGGTGGCAGGGCCATGGTGTGAAGACTCAGAAGGCTTTGGGAAACTAGGTTTTGAGACCTCAAGTAGTCTACACTAAACCTTTCCGCTACGGTTGTGCATTACAAATTTCAAACACATTTCTCAATCCGTGTATTTGTTGTGGCCACAAAACTTCTTAAATATGTCCTAAATAGCAATCGGTTATGTTAGGGATAACATTGTTTACCCTAACGGGTTTGGGTAAAAATAATAAATAAGTTATCATGGTTTGTTGGTTAAAGTGTGTGTAACTTTAACTACAAGAATGTAATTAAGGGTGTGGTTGTAAAAGCACCATAAAAGAAGCAAGTCAATTGCAGCTCTCTCTCTCTGCTTAATGATCCCTAATTACTGGATGGATTGATGACTGCGTTTTTCCTTACTGGAACGGAGGAGAGAAAGGAGTGTTGATTTCTCAACGGAGAGAAGAGATAATACAGACTGATTTATTGTAAGTGAACTGACATGGGCTATTCAACACGGACTTTGCAAATTGAGTATTCCCGACTGGACTGACTGAAATGATACATGACTAATGGACCGTTTATTTTGACTATGCTATAATTCCTAATGGAATAAACTATATTTTTGATAGCACAAGCGTATCTGTATTTTTTTACTGCGTGTTAACTACAATACAAACTTATCTCACACATTTACCTGTCTGCCTATCTGACTACGCTACACATTCTGTTGAGTTTGTTTTCCTTAACACTCGTTGGGGAATTCAGGCTTAACAGGTTTCAAGTGCCATGAATACAGAGAACTGCCCTTCAAGAATGAGAGTATTTATCTGCATCTGGCAAAAGGAGATACATTTAATATTTTTCTCCTTTTGTTTTAATTTAAAGTTACCTAAACTAATTTCCTATTTCCGTTGCAGAAAGTCTTCCTTTTTTAAAACCAAGTCTTTATAACAAACTAATTAAATTAAGACAAACTCAATGCCATAACGTAAGTGTAAAGTGTAGATTTATTTTAGGCTTAACATATAAAGTGCAAAATTTTACCATAAAACTATCAGGTTTTTAAAGAAGTTATAAATTAGTTTCTGATGAAGGCTAAATCTGGAATAACACTTATTTAATCAAATATGGTACAATGAGACACAATGGTCAAACAAAAAGAATTTTTTTTAAAGAAACTTACGTAGATGTTTTGCTGTCTCGAGACCATTTTTTAATTTGGGAAAGCTTATTGATGAGAAAAATTCCTTTCCCTTGAGCTTTTCCACAAGGTTTCATAATCCATGTACTGGAAGGGTTTTTTCTGAATTCTTCAACAAATAAATTATAGTCAGCTGGAAGCATAAAGGTGACAGGAACAAAGTCTAAAAGGGATACAAGAGTTTAAAATAGCACATTAAATCAAATAAACAGACAGACAGATGGTAGAGGATGAGCCCTCTCTTCTATTATTTACCCATTTCATTCTTTTTAAATTTAAGATAGGATGGAAGCTCTCTCTAACTTTCCATTTTAAAATAAAAATAAACAGAAGGGGAAGTAACTCAGTTTCATTCTATTAACAAATTAGATAAAATGTTATATGAGAATCCCTTTTTTAAATCTTAAAGCAGAGGTGGGTATTCAGCAGGTTCTGACCAGTTCTGGAGAACCAGCAGCGGAAATTTTGAGTAGTTCAGAGAACTGGCAAATACCACTTTTGACTGCCACCGCCCCCATCTACTCTCTGCCTCCTGAGCCCCAGCTGATCGGCTGGGTCTATTTGTTGCCCTGCATGGGAGAACGGAGCTGGAAAGCAGGGGTGGGGAGGGAATGGGATTTGGCAGTGACCTTCTCCTGCCACGCCCACCAAGCCATGCCCACAGAACCGGTAGTAAAAAAATTCGAATCCCACCACTGGTCTTAAAGGCCTCACTTGAATCTAAGAACATGCATAAAATTTTTGCATGTTTGGTCTTTTACTTATAACAGCCACAGTCTTTCAATCCTATCTGAGAAATTCTCATGAACAGTTGTTACCTTTTGTTGCCTTTCTTAATTTGTAGAATTCAAAGCATGAAAATATTATTCAGTCAGATTCTATGATTCTGTGCAAAAAAAGAGAGAGAGAACAATCCTAGGACTATGTGGTACTAGATTAATTAATTGGTTACCACCGAGTCGGGTGTGATTGACTGAATTTATATATCTACTCATCTCACCTGCATGAGACTCCTGGCGGCAGACAGAGATAAAATAAAAGCTAAACAATTATTATAATCTATCTTGTTAAAACAATTTAAAAATTATGATAACAAAAAGACAGAGAAGAGCGCAGTCAGCTTACACCGATCATATAATGGGATCCACCCTTCTATGAGATCCCATGGCGTAATGGCAAAATCAAGTGCTTACCCTCTCAGATACTGCAAGGACTTTCCAATAATTTTTAGCCTGCCTACCTGCCTGCCTCTCTCTCTCTCTCTCTCTCCTTCCTTCCTTCCTTCCTTCCTTCCTTCCTTCCTTCCTTCCTTCCTTCCTTCCTTCCTTCCTTCCTTCCTTCCTTCCTTTCCTTCCTTTCCTTCCTTCCTTCCTTTACATATGGAGCTTTAACTTCCACTCAGTTCAGAGAAGGTTTATTGGAGCAATCTTAATGGAATTTAAAGAATTTAGAGTGACCTTGGGAACATCATGAGAAATCTGCTAAGGGAAAAGGCTGCTTGGAGGGGTCTTGGAAAAGACATTTCATAGATACAGATATACGAGATGTATTTTTTGCAACACCGTAATGATATAGCAGTAAAGAGAGTTAACTTCGGTAGCACCAGGGAGATCCCCAATTTTAGGGGCCCACCCACCCCTTCAAAATGTTGGACCAAACAGTTTCTCCATGGATTCCCCATTAAAAAGGGTTATATTAAGGCTGTACATTTTATGGATGTCTTTTTATGATATGGATGTCTTTCACCGACGTAAATAGACATTTGAGAACTTAGCTAGATGGCTTCCAATGGCCTGTGCCTACATCAAACAACACTCTTCACCAATTTAAGGTAAAGAAACAAGTCAAATCTGTGTACATATCACTTCAGTGTTCTCTTAATGCTTTTTCATACTTGTACAAAGAACTACTATCAATTTCTCCTTCTTTCATGAAACAGATTTGTTCATCAATCACCATTCCTACACTTCATTCTAAAGGTGAAGCCACGTTTTTTTAAATAAACCACTCAGTTTCTCAAGATTAGTCCACTGAGAAAAAGAATACTGTCTGTGCCTACGTTTAGAAGCAGATCTCTGCTGAGTTTAAAAATCTAAGTAGAAGAGAAGCTACTTAGCACATGGTGGGGAGGCCACCAAGTAATCCTAGGGCTACGGGCTGGGAAAACAAAAACAAACAACTACCCCAACCCCCATAATAATAAAAGACAATAGCACACCATTATAGCATATCCATAAAGTCAACAGAAGCTGTGCACAAAACTGCAGATACTTGACTTTTTTAATTTATACGAGAAAAGATTAGACGAGTATAAAAAGTTTCTAGCCATTCAAAGATATTGCTATACTCTATACTTTCATCTTATTATGTTATTGCTTAGATCAGTGGTTGCCAACTGGTGGACTGCGTAACACTGGTGGTCCGTGAGAAAATTTTGGTGGTCCGCAGAGAAATGCCCCCCCCCCCAAAGCAATTAATCCAGGCTGCGTGGGAACACAATGCTGTGCCGCCCGCATGGCCCGCCCATCCCCTGGCCCCCATCTTTTGGGCAAGCGCAAACCTTACTTTGAGTAGAGCTGGAACTGGA